AATCCTTTGTAATCGACATGAATCGATTTTTTTTTTCAATAAAAATATGAATATGAAAGCATCGAGAATGCTTTAGACTGAAAATAATAAACTTTTTCATATGCTTTTCCTAGAATACCTAATGTGACATCTTTAATGTCCCATCCTTTTCGAATTCGTAGAATCATAAAAAAATCAGTAGCAAACACAACTCTGCACTAATGCATCAGTGCGGTCTATGATTTACCATCAGAAACGATTCCAAGGCCACCACTGATAATGATAATGCCCGTGCGGTCCCGCCTCTTGCGCAACGTAGAACTGGATGCGATTATTATAAGAGACATTTAATTATTGTATTCCGAATGCACTGTAATCTCTTGGAAAATTATCTGTTGCGCCATTCTACCACACACACGACGAGATGCAATTCAGCGTATCGTTGCATTTATCCATTCATAAAATTAAAAGGCTATTTGGAGTAAAATAAGTTCTACGATAGATAAAGAGTTTGAAAGTTTTTCTTTTTCAGAATAACCTTGGGTAAACGAGGGCAGTTTACAAATAAGCTTTTGGAAATACTGTGATTCAACTATGTTAAGTGGGGGAATGAGACCTAAAGCAAATATAGAATACAACAAACGATGGTCCAAGGTCCTATAAAAACATATGGGGCTATCTTAGGGAGATACATACCCTAAAAGAATATTATTGTCAAGTAGTAGTTTTCTTAAATAACTAATGCCTAAAGGACACTATAAAGGGATCTCTTCATTGTTTCGAAGAAGTATAGCTTTTACAATTTAAGAAATTGTAATAATAATAATAATAAAATGTCACTAGGCACATTATAAAAACTACAATATAATGTGACCTCTTCGTAGGCGAAGTCTAGCTCTACTTAACCTACAGAAATAATAAATTGAAACATCACTTAATCTAAAGAAACTTTGACAAGCAGCTAAAGACGCCTCAAAACAAACGAACTTGATGGCTGGCTGACATACATACACATATACATATATGCACATATACTATATTACGTATATTAAAAATAAAATATAAGATTTGATGATACTTGAAAACTAACTTTTCCACAATTACTACAATGACAAATAAAACTGTTTCACATGCTTACGAAATCTGTTTACTGGCCAATCCTTTATATTGTCATCTAAATCGTTATAAATCATGATAGCATTGTAAGTGTATGAACTACGAAATAAAGTTGTTTTATACATAGGGATCTCTAGTCTTTTTTTGTGTCTAAAATCAATGTCTGAATTACTTCGTCTGAAAACAAATTTCTCATAAAGATACAAGGGGGAGCGAGAAGATATGATCTTATGTGTAAACACTGCCATATGGTACATACATGCATTTTCTATACACATCCAACCAAGCTGAAATCTCTTTAAGGAAACATGATCATACTTCTTGAGATTAAATACAAATCGTTAACAAGTATTTTGAAGTTTTTGAAGTCTTGTTTTTCTGATAGAATCAAGTCAATCATAGAACACAGTGCTACAGTAAAATGAGCTAGGAAATATAATAGCCTCACATAACTTTTTCTAACTTTAAAATTCAAAATAAAGCGATTGACATAAAAACACTTCAAAGTTGCATAACATTTTTTTAAGATAGACGAAACATGCTCCTTAAACCGTAAAGTACAGGGTGGTCCATAAGTCCTTTGAAATTTCAAATTTGAATAAAATTTAACGGGTGAGCGTGAGCGGCGCGGGCGAGATGGGGGCAGTATCTTCAGTGTCTGGGAATTCAGTCGCCATGGAGTGTTTCACTGGAGCGGATCGTGCTTTTTGTGTGCGCGCGTTTTATCAAAATAATGATTCGGCAACCATTGCGCGGCGTAAATATCGAGAATACCACAGTTTACACAATTTTACAAAGTGTCCAACAGCTCAAACGATTAAGAACTGGGTTGCTAAGTTCGAAGAGACTGGTTCGACGTTAGATAAATAGCGGTGGGGTCGACCAAGGACAACTCGTATTGAAGAAAACATCAACATTGTGGCACAGTCTGTTCGTCAAAATCCTACCCAGTCTACTCGTAAGCGTTCCAGTGCACTAAACGTACCCAGAACATCTTTACAGCGGATTTTAAGGAAAGATTTACGTCTGCACGCTTACAAAATTCAGTTAGTGCAGGAATTAAAAGATAATGACACTATTCAGAGACTAAACTTTGCGAATGAAATGTTGAATCGGTTTTCTTCGCTCAATAATGTTGTTCTCGGACGAGGCTCACTTCCATTTAAACGGGCATGAAAATAAACAAAATTTCCGTTATTGGAGCCCCGAAAATCCAAGGCGTAAGCATCAGAAGCCCTTACACAGCCCTAAAGTTACAGTTTGGGCCGCTATGTCAGCGCATGGCATCGTAGGCCCTTATTTTTTTGAGGACGACAGAGGTCGCGCATTAACCGTTACTTCGGAGCGGTATGTAGCAATGATAGAAGAGTTTTTGACACCAGCGTTGCAGAATTTTCCAGGCTATAATACGCAGACCTGGTTTCAACAGGACGGAGCAACTGCCCACACCTCCAACACTTCTATGCCCGTCGTCTGTCAACTTTTTCCCAGCAAAGTAATTTCTCGAAGAGGAGACATTTCCTGGCCACCACGTAGTCCAGATTTGACCCCAATGGACTTCTTTTTATGGGGCTACCTCAAGAGTAAAGTGTACGACACCACTCCGCGATCAGTTGATGTCATGAAAGAAAATATCCGAAGAGAAATGGCAAGCATTACAGTGTTGACTTGCCGCGCAGTCATCGACAATTTTAGACGTCGTTTATATGAGTGCCGTGATCGTAATGGATTGCATTTAGACGATGTGATTTTTAAAACATAATTCCCATTCAATAAAGATGATAACAAAATATAATAATTCTTCATAATGTAACTAGTTTGGTTTTATTCCTTTTTTTCCAGCTCAAAGGACTTATGGCCCACCCTGTATTATCAATAATCAACCCTAAATTTTGTGTAGTATTTACGACAGTTTCCATTTCCATTTTTTCGTAAAATGTAGCAATATACATGTGGCACACATGATATGTCTTCCAATCATTAAAGTGATTAAAAGAAATTATAATGAGTCATATCGTTAATAGCAATGCCATTAATTCACGATTTTTTTAATGGACACCAATCTATACTAGTACAATGGTGACTGAAATTAAGAAAATAATGACTCATTGCCAACAAGTAGAAATGTGATAAACCACCAAAATTATAATTACTAGCGTCAAACAAAAGCGCACAATACCTTAGTAGATTGTCAAAAAACTTATCTTTATGTAGGATTTTTCCACACCGTTTGTAGTAAGATATCTAGTAGATAATCAGGTCACTGAAAATACTTGTGATATAAAAATTGAACAATAATGTAAATTTCTGCAAAACAACTATACAAACATACATATCTAAAAGTGATTCGTAAGCAGTTCTTTACAAACATCAATTACCCATGCCATGATTTCCATGTTTTGTTAAAATACTTCACTGGAATTGTTGATAACCATTTTGCGTAGGTAAGAATTTGTGAGTCATTTCAAACGATAACATTTCCTACCCACATGAACTACACACACACACCAATTGTGCGTTTTGAAGTAATTTATACTCGAGTAGTCTGGTGTCTGTTTGTTAACAATCGGGTTACATGTGTGTAGTGTTTGTATAAGAAATTTACACTATACAGATTTGATTTTGATACAAGCAAGATTGTGATTTCAATTGCATGGTCATCTAATTGTAACAGTTGGGCACTAAATATACAGAGCTTTTCAAAAAACCTGCAAGCAAGCTGAAATTTGGGGTGATGAAATTGACGCTTGGATATAGTATTTTAACTTAAAAGCTGGGCGCCATCTTGGAACATTTCCGAATGGAATGTGGGTTCACGTGATTCTTAACTTTAAAACTTCTTATCGTCAGTGAGAGTATAAAATTCCTGCATTTAAAAATTGGGAATTGGCGTACACTGGATCGCTTATAAAAACTAATAATGAAAACACCATATGTATAATCAGGATGTGCAAAGAATATTGGACATTCTTTTTTAGAAGAAAAAGACAGACTTTGCATTTTTTTGTAAGTAGAATATTTCCTATTTTGTTACATATTCGACTAGATCTTTTCACCAGAAGAAACTTATTATTCATTATATAAAGTCGCTCAAGGAAGATAGTAATTGTATACTCTAGGGTTATAAAGTACTCAAAACGAGCTTGGAAAAGAGGTATAACATGTGCTCTCTTTCCATTTGCAAAAATGATTCAAGAAGGCGCTCATCTGCCATTTTGAAGTGTTCATCTGCCGCCATACATTATATTATTCATGCGTTGATCCGTTCAAATAAAACAAGGTGGGGGGAGTAGGGGAGTTTTTATCATGCCTACTTTAACGATTATATAGGACAGAATTTGAAATAAAAAAAATCCAAACTTTAACCAAACATTTTTGCGCAGAAACATACGTTAATTCTTGCTTTATCCAGTTAATATGCTGAAGTACCCCAAAATAATTTGGAAAGTCTTGCTAACTACACGCCGTAGTATCGAATTCGATTGAACTACTTTTCTTGGCATTCTGAATAAATAAAGAATGAGAATTAGCAACATATACTTATGGTTGGTTTTTTATGTTTGAACAACATAACGAAGAACATGGCATGACGGAGCTGTTCGTAATGCCAAAAACAACACCTGATCAACACGATGCAAAGATCAGCTATCTCGGACAATTACTTGAAAAATAGAATTTTCCAAATTTAGTACTACAACAAAAAATCCAAATTATTCGTAAATTGAGATGAATTCCTGAACTATAGTGTGGAAAAGGTATTATTATACTTTAATATATGCCACTTTTCAATAGCAAACATCTAAATAGCTCTTTGTTTGTTTCAGGTAAATATCACTGGGATCAATGGTCATTTAACGTAAGTATTGACTGTGACTGTGAGCCATACTAGTGTATTACGCCGTAGCATTTCAGCTTTTGTGGAAATACGGTTCATTTTTGTAATACTGCAGACAACCTTAATAATCAAGGTGATTTGACTTGCGGTTTGTAAATAACTTCCCGGAAATTCAATCGTTGATTTATAGACAGGGGAAACCTTTTCTTCAATCAGATGGCTGTAATATTTTTGCTACGAAACAAAGCAAATTACTCAGAAAACGGTTTAAAAACTCAGACACATTGGAGTTTCCTTCGAGTGGAAATGTGTTGTGAACTATAGTTTGGCACCAAAACGGAAGATAGGATAGCAGATCGTACGCCACTGCATTAACGGTATTGTATGATGTGTTATGGTATTCTCTTAATTTTTTGGTACCTGGGTATATATCTTTGATACAGGGCAGTATCTCAAGCAAGCTTTGTGAAACATCTATAACTACTTTTCTTATCCATAAGATATTCCTATCTCAACTCTCAATAATCTGTTTTTGTGCCACTATATTACTGTGCGAAACCACGTTGATGTGCAGTTGTAAAATGCTTTTTTTGCTGTGAAAAATGCTTGCCACGTCTTTTTTTATAAATAAGAGGAAATAGTGGTGTAATTCCTCTTTCCTTTTTTGTTTAAATTAATTAATAAATGTAATCCAAGGATCAGTCAATGCAAAACTACTGTCAAGTGGCATGCTAATTTAGGCACTAGCTCAATAAAGCTGATTGAGGAGGTAAAGAGCGCCAGTGACTCCAGATGGATTAAGTCTCAAATCCCCGAGATGTTAGTCGGAACTTGTTGTACCTGACCACCACACAAAGAAAAGAATCTCATAGTAATGATGAAACCTAATTAATTGTACACAGGGAGCAGCACATATGCTCCACCTCTGGAATGCAAGTTAAAAGAAAGGATATTATTCAAAACTACCTGACAATAAAATGATTAGTCCGTGATAATTAACTCCGCAAAAGGTTTACCTTGGTACACGTACGAAGGCTTTACAAATATAGGTTTTATAAATATTTTAACGCCTAAACTTAAACTTATCTGGATAGTAGTCTTATCTGGAATGGTCTTCTTCCAGTTACAGCTCTAGGCGCAGCTGAGATGTCCTCAGCTCACAAGCGCTCAGGTCAAAAACCAGTGGCCAGTAGTGAGCAGCGATATGTTTTACCTGTTCACATTAGGGTTTTTTGTCAAAGGGAAGGGATGGCTTCCAACAAAATCGGCTGTGAAACAGCTACAAAACAAAGCTGGAGGAGTGTGAACGGTGATTCTCCACAATGGCTTGCCACTAAAAGGAAGCAGATATTGAACAAACTTCTTTAGGACAAGCATTAATGGACATAGTCCGATGGTATACAGAAGAGAACTTACCGCTGGAGGTTAAAATCCCATAAAAAGATCGACGGGTGGTAGTAGCCAAACCAACACGACTAAACATAAGGTACAAAATAAAAGGGTACTACTCCATCAACTGGTGTTTGGGGCGTTAATATCCCAAAATCTGGAAATTAACGAAAAAACGCCCGCACACAGTCTCCGCAGGAAAGTAAAATGACTCAGAACGGAGAACATCTAACCCCCTAAAAGAAGGTTAAATGAGAGGCCCTGAAGAAGGCATGTTTGACAGAAAATCAAAAGGAACAGAGAAAAGCCGGTAAAGAAGGTATCTTGATAGGAAGATAAACATTCATATTCGGCTAGTACATGTAAAAAGCACAAGGTGGCGCGCTGGTCAACTCTGTTTACGAGGGTCCAACGATATTTTATGAGGAAGTTTCTCAGATAGTCGTTAATAATACTATAACATTAGTGTCCAAAAAGGTTTCAATTCAATACTGAGTCGCTGTGAATGACAAATATAATACGTGAGAAATTATACAATCAATAAAAGGTTTGGCCTAGGAATCGGTACTGTACTATTAATAAAGAAATTCAAATTACTGATAAATCAAAATAGTAAAAAGAAAGTTACGTGATTTTAGCACGTGACATGCTTTATAATAATTTTGACTAGCAAGAGAGCTATAGCATAAAATAGCGATAGGATAGATTCTTCCGAATAAATCCTAATCCATTTTTCCTTTCAACCCATCAAGATAGTAATTACCCCTGTTAGCCCAACCGCCACCTCAACCGTATTGGGACGCCAATGGTAATTAAGCTGGTGCACATGACGGATTCCTGGACGGCGCGTCGTTTCAGTGCTCGGTGTGAACGCGGCTTGACGTTCTGTGAAGTGGGACGAGGTCGACAGAACAACAATATTGTAATTCTTAATGGGGCAGCGTTGCCAGATCTTTTGCTGCTTCGTAGCTAATCGGTATGGTGTTGTGGAAGCTCGAACATCCTACGGTATATGTATAGTTTTGACCTAAGAAAATATTTTGAGAGAGAGTGGGTCGCCGTTTCAAGCTCTCGCCCTTAATTTATACAGAATGGGAAAATCCAGTTTAATGAATTTCATATTCCGACTGAAGTCTTCTTGATCTTTACTCACAATGACAATGATTGGGGCTACAAAAGGCTTCTGACGTTGCCTTTGAGATAACGCATTAGTTCAAATATGAATAATCGAATAAAGCAATAAATGGAGTATTTTGAGTTCTAAAATTATCTTACACAAGAACCACGGGCGCGCTCCTTACTTCAAACTGTACTACTAGAATCTACTTCTTTATGTTTATGGTCAGCTTACTTGACAACATTACGATTGTGGTCTATTTATTGCACAACAGCCCCAAAAATTACATATCGTCAAAACATATTGATATACAGGGTGTTCGAAAAATAGACGGAGATAGTTTAGAGGGTGATGCCTTGTTGAAAAATATGAAATAAAGTTTCTATAAACATGGGTGCAGAGTTTTCAGGATATAAGGTGATAAATTTAAAAAAAACTTCTTTCAACATCTTAAAAAATAGTTAATCGATTCTGTTGAAGTTTGGCGATATTATTTGTTGTATTAAGAGAGGCTAATTTCGTCCTAAATGGACTAAAATTATTACGTCTAGTGGCGTCCAGAGGGGCACCTTAGCGAATATTATTGGCAAGAAAATGTACGCCACTGTCTTTTTTGTAACTTTAATATTTGTTCTTTAATTAAGCATCTAAAAATACATCTTCTTTGGCTCCTGTATTTTTTTCATATCTCACTTCCCGCTTCCAGTCTCATAGGTTTCAACTGCCACAAAACCCAACGTAAACTCTCCCTATAGGATATCAACTTCTCGGCATATTACAAAAAACTGCAAGGAAAATTCCAGAAATACCAAAATCTAATAAACTTGTAGTAATGTTGAGTTTTTTATTACAGTTTTTAGACTCTCCCACTATTCTTTACAACCTCGCCTGTCTCATAGAAGAAACTAAATATTTTTGAACTTGACGTGACGACAGAACAAACTTCCAAAAGCTCTGGTTCTTGAAGCTTATAATGTCGTTCATGGAACAATCTTCAATTCTGCGTAATGATTAATAGCTTATAATGGAATCTATCACGATATTAGTTGCTGGTAAAAAACTATTTCCAGCGCACTCATTATCCTTATATTGAATCTATAACGTTTCGTAATAGCCACATACCACGTAAACCAATATAGACGTTGAACAAAAAAATTGGCTTTATTATAAGCCGACCCAATGACCACAAGCATGCATAAACTGTAGAGTATTTTCAAGTTTATTTAAAAAATAGCAGTAGCAAAAACGAACATGTAGTGTGGTAGCGTATACCAGGTGTCAACAAAACCATTGCTTAAGGCTATCGTTCATTGCTATGCATGCCCAAAAGAATTAGGAAGTAAAATATAAAAACAATATGACAAAACAGATATTGTTTGACAGGAAATATGTCGTGAACCTATCATATATTTTTTAACTACAGAATATTCATAGATATACATGTTTTATCTATGAATAAAATTTTCGCAAAATGAACTCTCGATAAACGTGACATCATACTTCAACAAAAACATTGATACGAGGCCGCAATTACTTCCTTTGGTTTGTATTTGCAATTTGCACGTCTCTTCGATGACAAAAAATATACATTTTCATATAATTTGACAGCAGTATCGTTGCGTTGCTCCTAATATTTTTAGCCATTAGAAATACATACAAAATAAGTCCAATCATTTTAGCAAAAAGTAACAATTTTGTTCAACAGTTGAATTTTCAATGCTCATGCTTTGGGGAGAAAAAAATATACCCCGGCTACTAAGGCTTGTAATCAATACGTAAACAGTGTCACTATCAACAATTTAATATTTAATAAGTCCTTTTTACTAATTTTGAATGCCTGGGCTTATATGTGCCAAATGTGCTCGAAATACGTAAATGCATATTTATTTGCTTAAATCTCAGAAATTTCAATAAAAATTGTGATAAATACTCCCAAATCTGCTTACAACTAGGGCATTTCCCCGTTGTGGCGGTGATAACGACAAAATCTGGATTTTTGCTACCAAGTCGTTTGTTGAACGCAGTTTATGAGATTTGACAGCTCTGTTTATGAATAAATATATATTTGAATACGTAAAATGCCAAACAAAATCAAGTACACTTTCAGTCAGCAACAATCAGTATATTAATATCTATAAAATACCCAATTAAAATGATGTTTTACTTTGAACAAAATCGACTGCGAAAGAGCTACAAGGCAGCTACAAAACAAAGCTGGAGGAGTGTTAATGCAATGCCTTTCCACTAAAAGGAAGCAGATATTGAACAAACTCCTTCAGGGCATGCAGTTATGGACGTAGTCCGATGGTATACAAAAGAGAACTTACCGCTGGAGGTTAAAATCCCATTAGAAAATGGACGAGTAGTACCCATACCAACACAACTAAACGCAAGGTACGAAATAAAAGGGTACTACTACATAAATTGGTGTTTGGGGCGTTAATATCCCAAAATCTGGAAGTTAACGAAAAAAAGCCCACACCACAATTTCCGCACTAAACTAAAAATGACGCAGAACCTAATTTTTAAAAAAAAAGGTAAAGTAAGTGGCCCTGAAGAAGGCACGTTCGACAGAAAATCAAAAGGAACGGAGAAAAGCCAGTAAAGAAGGTATCTTGACAGTAAAGCAAATTTTAACAGAAGGTATCTTGATAGGAAGGTAAATATTCATATACATGTACAAAGCACAAGGTGGTCAACTCTGTCTACGAGGGCCCAACGATATTTTATGAGGAAATTTCTGAGATAGTCATTAATAATACTATAACATTAGAGTCCAAAAGATTTCAACAAATACGGAATCGCTGAGAAAGAGAGATAATACGTGTGAAATTATAAAATCAATAAACTATGAAATTTGCCAAAATAATA